ATGCATAATGATAATCGGCATATTAATCCTGCCGCTTTAATACCCTCATTGGACACTGTGGGTGGATGGAACGCCGTTTTTTGGTCACCTTTTATGTTCTTCTATTTACACACAAACCCCAAAACAGAGCGTCTGGAAGGTCGCTCTGTCTGTTTGAGTCCTCACTGACAGCTAAAGGCTAATTCTGCCCGCAAAGCAGAAGGGAACCAAGATGGAATCTCCTCCAAAAGAGTAACTACAGCCAGGCTGCATGTGCATCCATCTAGGAGTTGCCACATGCTCGGTCTGTGAATGGGATCTGATAGCATGTCATTGAATTAAAATCCAGTATCAAATCCATTCATCAAATCTCCTCTTGTTGGCTGAGAAGGCAGAAACACTGCAGTTTTTAGTGGCAGCATAGGTACAGTACGAGCAGCAGAATATATGAAATGTTAATTCAAATGTTCGGACTCATGCAGATAACAGCTGTGGCATACTGTCCTTCACAAGCTCCTTCCTCCAAAAGGGCCAGATTCAGAACTATGAAGTTGATCACGTTTGTTGGAAGTCAAAGTTTAAGGTGGCGATTGTTAAACAGACGTGATGTGATCAGATGATCATTCCTATAGAGAGGAGGCACAACTCTGTACCTGTTGAACTACAAAAACTACAATCTTAATAAAATAAACACGGACCTCAGCCAAGCATTTTGGCCATTACTGAATTAACATTAACCAGCTAAAGCTGATCTAATTTGCGACTTCAAAAGTTGGCTGATATGAGAAGCCTGCATACAAGGTAACAAGGTTCATTTATTTGTCCCTTTACAACACAAGGTTGCACAATGAAATATAAGTTGTAGCCCATTCTCGCTACACACAAATAAAACATATTTAAATTGGAATCGAATAAAATGAAAAAGAATACTATACACATACATGATATATACTATGGGCCCTATCTAACATCCAGTGCACAGCACATAAAGCTCAACGCACAAACATACATGTTCAATGCACATCGGTTATCAGGAGTGCCCTCTAATCAGTGTACACAATGTGAAACTCATCAATAGAAGACTATTCTAGGGCTGTACAGAGCAGTTGGTTCATAATGTTAACGTTTGAATTCTAAGCTAGCCGCTCTGGCTAACTTGTAGCTTTCTTTAACGGTCGCATCTTTGAGAGGGACAAAATGTTGTGGACGAGGCCTCATGATGAAGAGGGGTGAGGCCATGTGAGTCAATGGACCTGTGTGCAAAAACCAATTAATCGCACAAACAGTGAAAGAAAAAAAAGTTCTGTTGTATTATAAGACGTGACCAATATTAAGAAGGGACATGAATGGACAAAGTCAATGGACAGATGTGAACAGAGGCAAACAGATACAGATCCACACCAGGCAGCGGCGGAAACAAAGACGCATCCGCTCGAGTCGAACAAAGTTTCAGCGGCGTTATCCCCGAGTGGTAGAGAGACGGGAGCGGAGCGGAATGGGACCACGACAGGAAGTAGAGGATGAAGAGGAAGGTAAGCGACACAAGAGTTCCCGGTTAAGTTTTGGAATTAGTCTATCGGAGACTAGAACATGTTTAAATGAGTGTGTCAGATCTGCCCGTCTCTCTCTCTCTCTCTCTCACACACACACACACACACACACACACACACACACACACACACACACACACACACACACACACACACACACACACACACACACACACACAGAGCTTGTTGTCACAGCTGTGCTGTCAGTCAAGGATCTAGTCCATTGGCTGTTTGAGGCCAAAAGACACAGAATGGGCTTAACATTGTGTCAGTGGGATGGAGCGTTATCTTGGAGCAAGAGAGAGAGAGCCGCTCCTAGATGCTCCACTCCTACTATGCACCCAGTCTGGGATCCATTTGACAAGACTTGATATCGTGTCCTCATGCACATTGTGGCCACAGTGTTGTTACCAGTGTCAGAGTCGAGTTTAACATAAACACCAAGCACTTAATTGATTTGGTGAAACCTTGGTGATGGTAAAGCGGCTAATCCACCGAGCGGGCGCAGGTGCTTTTTCCTACTTATGCCTACTAGAGGCCAACTGAAACTTAGCAGCAGGTTCAGCCGGAACAGGTTTCATTATGAACAGAGCGCCATAGCTGGCAGTCGGCACAAACTCAACGTTTTAACTGGATCCTCTGTGACGGTGCAACTGATGCTGTGATGGGATGTCTACAGGACAACCTAGCAGCAATCGGGGGAAAAAACATTCAGATTTATTTCACTCAGTTTTTTTCCGTGCTAGTTGAGAACATTTTCGGAACGACTTTTTCCCGCAACATAAGTCACATGTAGCTAAATGGCAGTGCCACTGCCTGGATTTATAAGTCAAATTCTACTGGAACCTCAAATATCGAGTAAGCGCGTCTTCACTGGTCAGCAGGACACTTCTGAGGGAAGCTTCAACCTGAGGGAACGTGTCCTTCCTCCCATCTGATATTCCCATAATGGCCTATATGAGGCCCTCTTGATGGAAGTGGATGAATGACTACACAATCATGCTTATTTGTGATTCAATAGCAGCAAGAAATGATTTGAGAAGAGAAAGAATGAATGAAAAAAATGAGATGAGAAGAAGAGGTTGGGGGAAAATGTCCATTTTGAGAATCAAAAAAAGAAAAGCAGTAACCCCAACTTCAGCAAGAGTCTGTGTGTGTGTGTGTGGGGGGGGGGGAGAATATATAATTCGTTACAAACCTCCTTATTTAAATCGGCAAAATTTCAGACCATGGCGTCTCTAGTTAGTCATTGACAGAAAGAGGAGACCCCATATATAGGCAGACAGAGAGGAGATGTCAAGATGTCTTCCAGCTGTGCATCAGCACTGGTCTCATCCTCACAGTCCTGTTCCTTTCCTGGGAGCAGCCATCTCCCGGCAGCTGAGCGCCTGTGTCCCTCTACTCCAGGGCAGGGTAGGGGCTGGGGCTGATGCGGTAGCTAAGCTAGCGGCTAGCCTTTAGCTGCTCTAGCAGATGATTGCTGCAGATCTGCAGAGGACAGTCGGGGGTTGCCGGCTGGCCATCCACATGTCACATCGGGGTATAACCACCTACTATACACGAGACAATATGTATGAAGCAACACATCCATCCATCTCACATGTCTCCCATTATTAACCGGCATCCTTTTCCATTCTATTTGGTGTCGTGCGTTGACTCAGGGCAGGTCGCGATACCTCTGCTACTGAAGCTTGCCTAGATACACACACACACGCACGCGCGCGCACACACACACACACACACACACACACACACACACACACACTGATCGCATCAATTGTTAGCCTCTTTATGACTAACCCAACACTTGGTGAAGTCGCCAGATGGTTAGCTGTCAGAAACAACACGGTCACACGGTACACTAGAAGGGGCTATCGTTAGACTTAGAGGACATTGCATGCTGCTTAAACGGGGTAACGTTATGTAGTCCATCATCATACTGCACGTCTCCGCTACTGTAGTTACGACAGCCAAGCCTTAATTGTTCAACACGACCCATTGTCCAACGCCGACATTAACCTATTTATATCACCGAAGCCTGCCCCCCCCCATCTGACCAGCAGAGGAATGGGGACACGAGGCCGGGTGACAGGGGCGAATAACGAAGGAAGCGGTAACATCATGCTACCAAGCACTGTTACCACTGATGGACTGTCACACCTCTAACACAGATATTAGAGACAAGACCCAACCAGCCCCAAATTCATACATCAATGGGAAAAAAAGATACCGACGACCGGCTATGTCTTACCTCAGGCGGTGTGTCGAACCAAGCTCCAGCCATGTTCAGTAGCAGCCATGTTCGGAACCCCTCTCTCCGTCCACACGAACCGAGCCCCCTCCCCCGGGTCAGGCGGCCCTCTTCCACAGCACAAATCCAAGTAATGTGTTGCAGAATTGTTTGCCGATAAAATCCCTGTGAAATTAGTTTCCAGTAAGATTGCGTTATTCTCCGGAGCGCAGAGAGCGGGTTGTGGATGGGGACTGATTGCCGGCGCAGCTAGCCGTGCCTAAGGAGAGGTGGGCACCTCGACCACCTCCAACTCTTCTTCTCTCCACTCAGCAAACGTAATTTACTTGTTCCGAGATTTATTCTCAGATATACAAGATGCTACCATACATTTACAGCGTGGGCCGGTCGGGTTAACAAGGTCGTCAGCTTTTTTTATATATTAATTTAAAAGGCAAGAAGCTAACATTAGCTAGCTATTAGCTAGCATGCTAGCTGTCTAATAAAACACTGCCATTGGAATTAAGAGGAAGACAGTCCGCACACTGCAGGCTGCATGTCGGGCAACGTCCAGCCGATTGGCCGCTGGACAATCCAGGCAGGCGTTATGAAATAAATGTGTTTTAGCAGGCACAGCTACAGCTAGCTCTGAGCTGGCCAGCCCCTCCGTGATGTTAATATCGGTCAAAGGAGAGGGGCTGCATTGAGAGCGCACTCCCGACACCAGGCAAGTACGGCCCAGCGCGTTCCAGAGAAATGTTCCCACAAAATGGCTGCCAAAACAAATCCACCGCGGACAGTCACCCAACTACCTTCCAAAAGTTGGTATTTAACGTAGTTTGTACTTTCTTTTCATGTAGCAAAAACTCTACCGGAACTCTCCGGAGTCCGCGTATGAGCTTAGAGGACACAGAGGCAGCTTGTCGCGAGCCGGTGGAGTTAACGGTGTGTTGCTTAGCGGCTACATTTAATAACGTTTACAGCCAACACTCCGCATCGGAAGACTGGTTCACTCAAACTAGCGGACAGAAGACAAATGTATTAGTTCTAAACCCAGGTTTTACCAATACCAAAGACATCTCAGACATGCTGGTGCTGCACCAAGGACCTGAACCGACACATTGCCACTTTTGGAAATCTGTTAACAGGAGGACGTCCATTGTTTTTAATAACTACGAATTGGTCGTAATTGTTTAAAAGGGCAATATTTTGTGTAGTCAAAGATCAGAAACAATCAAAAATAGCAATCAAACATTTTATTAAAACAAAGTTGCCATTATATGTCAAAAAACAAATATATAAACTGTTCAAAGCATACATTGTTGCAAATTACAACCGCTCTCCTTCATACTCTGTGAACACAAAGGATTCTGCTATCAAACTACATGTCAGAGTGGAGAAAAGGCACCATCTCTATTTGTCTGTACACACGTTTACACCTTACCGCTAAACAGATCAGCATTAAGGGTCCTTAACTAAGTGTGGGTATTGTGCAATAAGTACACATTAAGCCCGTAGACAAGTTCTGACAGATGTCGTATTGTACACCAACACCAGCCATCTGGTGTGTGGCTAGTTGGGATATCCGTACCAAACCGGGGTTGAGCTATCTGGATTCAGAAGCGCCCAGATAAAAAGGCGGTAATCAGTAAAGAAAAAAAGACATTCTATAAGAAAAGAATAGAGAGCATTAATAAGAGATAAAAAAATCGAAATAAAAGCACTGACCAAACAAAAAACCTCACTGGAGCCAAAATAAAACCATGTAGCTGAGATTTAAACTTGCTTAACAGCATCAAAGTCATTCAACAAAGCTTTGCAGCAGTTTATTCTGTTATTTGAAATACTTCTTAGAAAGTACACTGTTCACAAGCAAGCAGCAGGTGAATTAAAAAAAATAATTCCCTTACAACTCACCACACAAGACTGGATAATTTACAGTGTCATTCATTTCTACTCGTCTTCCTGGTGTGCAGTTACAGAAACATCCTTATCAGTTGGATATATACGCATCACTTGTGCATAACAGGTGTGAAAATAAGGGTGGTGAAGCTCAACATATTATGAAAACTTGCACTACTGACATGACATACTCCAATCTGGCAACCAACTGTTATGCGATGTGCTCCCAAACTCATTGTTTATAGAAAGACTCAAGCAGCTGATGCTTGGTCAGTGAAAGTCAAAAGAAGGAAACCCAGACATGTTTGAGTCCGCTTGCTGGTCTCGTGGTAGGAGAGGCAGGAGAGGAGAGAGATGGACAAGAATAAAAAGAAGATGGTGGTTGGAAATCCCCGAGCCTTCTTCAGCACGCCTCACTTCTTCTGTTTGGGTGCAGGTCTGAGGAGAGACAGAAGAGCGTGTTACCACAATATGTAGGAAGCAAAACGAAAAAGAGCAGGCCGCTGTGTGTCCAGCTGACTGCAGCGGTTTGGGGGGGGGGGGTGTCAACCCTGTCACTGTAACTCAAAGGGAAGACTTCTAAACTCATAAACCTGGTCATGGAGCAGTATGTTCATGTCAGTTTAATAGTTCCTAATTCACAACTTGACGCCTTTTTGTTTTAACAGGTCACAGTACTCACTACCTCAAACTGCTTAACGTTTATTAGAGTTTACCTGCAGATACTGTAGAACGACTGTAGACACCCCAATTTACAACGAGGGAATCTTAGCAACATTCCACCAAATAAAGTGGTTTAGATCATCTGAATAAACGATGGGTTGGAATCCAAAAAATCTGAACATGACTTTAGTAAGTGATACAATGCCATAACCGATAGAAATTATGGCCAAAACTATGCAAATAAGATCTAAACTATAAAAAAGAAGAAAAAAAAATCCCTTCAAGGAGTAACGTGTACAGAGCTTCAGCTGCACTGGTGTGTGTATGTATTTGACGGTCTATATTTGAATATAGATTTGTCAAGAATTATTACAAGTATAGTGTGTGGTACATTCTTATCTTGAAACAACTATTTCGACTGAACTCGGACTCATTAAAACCCTCTAAGAAGGAGTCCATGTACATAAACACAGGACTGGGGAGAAGCAGCTCTCTATTCACATTTATCCATAGAAATTAGCAGTCCCATTTTAACTCATGTATGTCATATGTGTTGTAAATTTAAGAATTTAAATTTTTAAACAATCCACCAGATGGAGCTGTAGTCAATGCAGCAGCTTAATGCAGACTGGTAAGTCCTACTTTAATCACTGATCAATTAAGATGAAAATATTACCACAGGTTTTATTTTTCTGTCAATACCTGAAGAGAGGCTTTAAAATCCTTTCAGGAATGGGCCAAACTTATTAACTAGATACATATGAGCTGGGACAGAAAACTAGAGCTGCCAAAGAAGGGGGGGGGGGGGGGTTTTAGCTAGTTATTAGACAGTCCAACTACAACTAACTGGTTGGTTTTTAGCTTACCAGGGATTCAGAGAGCCACATTTTCTACATGAGTTACAAAAACACGAAAGTCTACGACCTTCTGGTGAGTTTTGTATGTGGGCGTAACCTTCATCAGAAAATTAAGATCTTGTCGATTTGATTGCATGATGCATCAACTTTTTGAAATTGGGGTGTCGCCTAGAGGTTAGAGTGACCCAAGATTTTACGGTGAACCTTGGAGCAAGCCGATAATGCAGTTATACTTAATCTGATCTGTTCATAAATTACTGAAAACAACACAAGAGTGTCTGAGCACCACCACCATGGGGTCAGTTGGTCTGGTTTGCTATCAGAGTAGCTGGTGAGGCTGCTACGTTTGCTTGCACAAAGATTATCCGTTCGCTTTGGCAGACGTCGGCTTCATTAGTGATCATTTAGGTGTGGCTTGGTAAACAGGGTGGGTACTTCCGCAGTTAACCGTTTTACCCGTTAAAACAGTTTGAAGGTATTTGTTTAGACTAAAACTGTGCTATAGTGGAGCAGGGTGAGTGAGCTGTGCTCGGGGACAGTGGGATGTGGCGTACCTGTAGATGCCCACCACTATGGCGTGGTCTCTCTCGTAGGGCTCCAGTGTGAGCTGCTCCTGTGGTTTCATGTTCTCAGAGCTCATCTTCTTCACTTCTGAGGCAAACACGGCCTCTGGAGGTGCCGTCGAGTCTATGCAGTTAGCCTGAAGTTTAAAAAAAAAAAAAATTTAGTCAACACAGGCGATGATACACTCGAGTGCATCATCGCCAAACGAGTCACAAGCAGCTTAGTTCAGCTACAACAAAGTACTTTACACTGGGGTCAATTTAATATATACACATTGCTGACATTCACTTTGTGTTTTCCTTATACTAACGGAGCATAGTTTGCAGTAGGAATGTTAATCAACCATTTAACTGACAACAATAATGAATTTTTACCCATTAATGTGAGATAGACAGGTAGAAACAATAAAAGAAAAGCAAAACTCAGGAGCAGCTTGTCACTTTGAGAATAGCTGGTCCACCTTAAAAAAGGTCAGCCCGCCTTAAGTGAGCTGGAGTTGTTTAGTGCTTTATGTGTTAACTGTTTGGAGGGCTGCGGACATCAGCGTACCTTGATGGAGATAACAAAGTGTCCTCCGTTCTTCAGGAAGTTGTGAGCGTTCAAAGCAACAATCCTCGTCTGGTCAGGCTGGGCAACATCAGCAAAAATCACATCCACCATGCCTATAGAGAGAGAGAGACCATTACTGACCACTCATTTCTGGCTTCATGTTTGAGATGAGCCCCGGCCACTGACTTAGGCTTTTCTTCCCGTCCATTGGCCTTTACAACAATACATCAAGCTACATGTTCAAGTGTGCATTGTGTAGGTAAAGTGGCAGGATTTGTGGTTCAGAACAGACTGCTATTGGAACTAGGGATGTCACGATACCAGAAAATGATTAGTTCAATCAAAAAAAAACAAAAAAAAAAAAAAAAAAAAAAAAAAAAAAAAAAAAAAAAAAAAAAAACACATGTACTTCAAGATGCACTCATTTATAGGCAAATATATTATTAATCCCTGATGATCTGCCTCAAGCTTCTCACCAAAAATGTACAATATTAAAGCGTATCATGAAATCCCTTTTGGAACATTGACAATGTCTGCGGCGTTACTGCGGTGGTTCGGGACTACCTACCAACAAGCATGCGGTATTTGTGTGGGTGACGGGCGTCTTCGATGATTGGAATGATGTTTGTGCGTTTCTTTGCCACGTTGAGAAGGTCGCGACCCGATCGATGGGAGAACTCCACAGCGTAGACCAGCCCCTCCTGTAACACACAAGACACGGGTCACTATTACGAAACCTGTAGGGGGTTCTTTTAAAAAAAAAAACAACACATTTTTTATAGTTTGGCTGGATGATATGGTCAGTGTGCTAGAGAATTTAGCACCATGCTGTTTGGCCATTCTGAACTTTAATCATCTCAAGTTCCTGGAAACGTTTGATGGAAAAGGGCCGCGTGGTGATTTCTGAATGTGGATGCGTTGTATTGGATTCCTTTACATTAAAACAACTCAAACTTTTGAGATGCACTGAGAGTTCGTAGTACTCACCGGTCCAACAATGTCAGAGACGTGGGACACCGTGGTGCCGGACGCAGCTCCCAGGTACATGACCTTTGACCCGGGCTTGATGTGGATCTGGTCTACTCCTCCCAAGATGGCTGCTGCCAGCTTGGAGCGGAACGGATTCCAGGCTCTGTACTCAATCTTCACATCTCCTTCCTAACAGAGAGAGAAAAACAGCATTCAACACAGTCTCGTCACAAAAGCTGCTGAATCACAAGACCAGGAGTCTTTAAGACCGATGCAGAGTTGTTGTTATTGTGTGTCTCAAAGTCGCCAATCCGGATATTGGAGAAGAGACTGCCCATGGAACAGTAACAGTTCTTCCTCACTGAGACTGTACGCATTCTGTGATGATTGAACCTTCTCTGCGCAGAGAATACTTAAAAGACAACCTGGTTTTCGGTATTATTTATTTCAGGAGTAAAAGACCCGCAAAACGGGTGTAGGAATTTTTTCCTCCAGTTATCATTTGAAACTATTTGTTTTCAATGTGGCAAAGGTCAGCAGTTAGGATCCGACCGCTGTGCTGCGAGGAACCACGTTCTCACCTCAACGTTGATCCTCTTCTCTCCGTACACAGAGTCTCCCACCACCATGTTCTTGGTCACCAGTGCATCCTCCTTCCCTCTGCAGATGAACACTCCTGAGTGGAAACAAACACACCACAAGTCAGTGCCGAGTCAATTAGATTGCATTCCCTTTGTGTGCAGAGAGAGAATGAAACTAACAAACTAACAGTTTCCCCCCCGTTTATCTAAAAGGTGGATATATGCTTTCACTGGGTTTTATACTACATCACTTTACATTTGCATTAGTAGAGTACACAGTACACAAAACCCACGGTACGATATTTTTTGAGTACAGTATGGGAAAAAAACACAACTAATATGTAATTTATTATAATAATTGTTCCACGAATCCACACATTTGGGTGATGCTGTATATGTTTTAAGTGGCATACCCAACTTCAGTTTGTACACGAGGAGTAGACATTAAGACTATTTGGGTCGCAGGACGTACCAAACGGAATACACTCGCTGAACAGAACGGTTCAGGGCGTACAAAAAGGTACCATTCCACCCGTACGCACAAGTAGAGGCCGAAATGGGGTATAACCCATATTAAAACAAACCTTCGTGTCTGTGCGGCTCAACCGTGACCTTCCTCCCTGCTCCGAAGCCTCCTCTGCCGCCGCCCCTCCCTCTCGGGGCGCCTCTGCCGCCCCCACGGCCACGAAATCCTCCACCTTCTGGGGACCTGAATCCACCTTAAAAAAAAAAAAACAGACTCATTATAAATAGATCTGTGCCCTGGTTATACCAACAAACCCATGCTTTTATCAGAGGTTATGCCCAAAATGTGCTGCGTTTCATTACTCCCAATTCACTTCCTGTCAAAAACAGTTCAGTCTGTATTTAGGTTAAACACATTCACGTATGCAGGGTTGATCTTTGCACATAGTATTGACTCAGATAATATCTGCATGTAAACTATTAATTAAAAAGCAATAGTGTTTTGGACAATCGATACAGTATTACAAACAATACTCTATATTTTCTAACACCGTCATGATGCGATAATACAGATAGCAGGACAGCGACAACACTTATATTATCATCCACTTCCCCCAATCTCACCTCTTCCTCCTCTGAATCCTCCTCGTCCTCCACGGTCACCGAAGCCTCCCCTTCCTCCACGATCACCGGAGCCTCCTCTTCCTCCACGATCACCAAAGCCTCCTCTTCCTCCACGATCACCAAAGCCTCCTCTTCCTCCACGAGGACTGAACCCTTAAAATTAAACACAGATAACAGGGGACATTAGGGGGTTGTGGTTCTACCGACTGAGTTAACACCCACATATCCCAAAGAGCCCTTGTGCACCTCTTCAAAAGATGCGGGGGGCTATTCATAATACACGGTAGTGACGAAGAACAATTTTATTTCATCACAGCGGCGCTCCATCACCACTGTTGATTGGAAGAGCAAGGAGTGATGACAATGTGATGTGGTAAAAAAAATATATAATAGAAAGATGGCTGCACATGTGACCCTGAAACAAGCCTGAGTGGTCTGTGTCTTATTTCAGGCTACCCTGTGGACATATCGTTTGAGGAGTAACAGACATGCTCAGTGGATTTCCTTTGCAAAGTCTATTTTCTGAAGAAACATGCATTGTTTACATACACTTAGCAGTTAGCCTTGTTCTTTCCCGCTACCTTTATTTCTAAAACACACTAACGTCTATGGAATGGAATACCACGAGACAAACAAAATGGACCTCCGACAAAACAAGGCTCGGTGCTAACTTTTAATAGTGGTTAACAGGCGGAGAGCTAGTCGTACGATTAACTTTACTGTTGTCTAAAACAGATACTTGAACGCACGTGCAGCGTTGTCTGGTTCCGGCTCTGACTGTAACCGCAATATCTAAATATTATTTATATTAAATAATTTATTGACTATTTAAAATTGTATATATTTGGGGTGAACGGTTTGACCGTCCTTTGTTTTACATATTGAAAAGTAAGGACAAGAATTGGTTGCCAGTTTCTCAAAATGGTAGCCAATGGCAACATGGAACCCCTTACTCTCGAGCCCAGGAAAAACGTTTTTTGTTGCCGTGTTAACTAGCTGCCCGAAACACCGCAGCGTACCGTTAACAATTCGATTTTAAGGTATTTCTGCGATGTTATTTTATTCAACTTTATTTTTCCACATCACATCAAATGTATTAAACGTTCTACAGCCGCCAACACCCCGGGTTTAAAGTTTAAAATAACGGTACGCATACAAGTCTGGCCACACGAGGTTCCAATCCGGGCTAATATTAGCTGAAGCTAACGTTAACTTTCGAGCTGTAGCCTCGTGTCGAGAAAGAATGTAGCCTCGTCAAACGCCTCCGACTTTGCACAGTAAACAATGCAATACGCGCAATAATTTGACATAAAACACATTAAGCAGATAATGTCGAGGGCTCGTGGCTGGTTTGGTGCTGGTGACGGGAGGCTGAACACGTGTGTTTAGCGACTCGTGGGCTGCACGGCGTGCTGCTGGTGAACGCTTATTTACGCATTAACCGAACATGAACATTTATTTTAGCCGTTACATGTCACCTACATCCATGGAGAGAGCGGCCACACACACTTGACACTTTTATCTCAGTTGCTAACAGTTTGTCGTACGGTTAACGGAGCAGCGTGGCGAAGTAGGCCGAACACCTATTAGCGCCTTTAACTTCAAACACACCGAGGACAGCTTAACAAAGTAGACACTCAAATTATAAAATAAACAACTAAACACATTGGTATATATTGTAACTTACCTGGTCTCATGTTATCTGGTGTAAGGCGTTTTATTGGTGCTACCGACGGGACTCTTGTGCTCTTTTCCTGTTGCTCTCACTGAACGAACGTAGTGTGACCACACTAACTCACTACTTCTACTGTAGCGATGATGCCTCATGTTTAACAGCGGAGCGAACGCTACCGCCACCTACTGGTATGGAGGGCTTCTACTTTTTCAGAACCATTGTCCTACTTTTAGAAAACATAGCTACATTAACAGTTTGAGCGGATAAAACCAGGGGTACATACAAAAGTGTATTAAGAGAAGCAATACAAAGTCAAAATAATGTATCATTGATCCATAAGAAATGTACCAAACACATCATTCATTAGTTTTAATTGTCTTCTTATTCTAAGGCTTCTTATCGTGTTGCGTATTGATGCAGTTCTTGATTTGAAAAAACAAATTTAAATTCCACAATTTAGTTTTGAGTCTGCCCATCTCTTCTTGTAAATGTGAAATCTTTCCAATAACAAAACTAACTGTACACAAATTATATTTTTCTGCCTCATTACTTAAGGCAGTGGTTCTCAAACGTTTTCTGTCACGCCCCACTTTGGAGGAAGAAAAATGTTGATGCCCCACCACCCCAACAAAACTGTAACAAAATGGTCCATGTTGAACTTTTATTGAAATAACAACATTTTGTGACTCTTCCATCTGTGCTTTTTCAAATAATAGAATAAAGAAAATTGCAATTACTTTCAAGTAAACCAGATTGCTCCATCAGACAAAAACAAATACAATGTGCAATCACTTTGTTAGAACAATGCAAATAAAGTTCAATCTGTGCAAAAAATAACTAATATTTGGAAAGAAATAGCTTATTCTGGCTGCAATTCACCTGTTTTGCACTGAATATCTTTCTAAGATAATAACAATAAACTGCAACCTGTGAAAAACTAAACAAAGCAAGTTCAAATATTTGGCAATAAAGAGTTTTACTGAGTTTTACACTGCATATCTTTTCAAAACAACAATAACGTGCAACCTGTGCAAAACTAAACAAAATGCTCCAGATATGTGTCACACATATCTGGAGCATTTTATTTTAAATATGAGCTTTAAAATGTAGCATTCTAAAAGTAAAATAATAGCTGTGATAATAGCTGTGATAATAATAATAGCTGCACGTGGGACTGTTAGTACACTGGCTGTGGTCATCACAGTGAACAGTGTCTGGCAGTGTGATGAGAGGACATGTGAGCCCTTGTTGCTGTACTTTATCTCCTTGGAGCAGAGGCTGCATTTAGCATACCCTGCCTTATCAATGTATTTAGAATACTGTGACAGCAGGAAGCTGTACTCACGTCTGTTTAGACCTCCACCTTTATCCAGGCCCAGCTCCACTCACATCTCAGCCCTGCGTCAAGCTGCGCTACACAAACAGCCTCCTCTTCCTGAAGCTCTTTGACCTCATCATCGCATCAGTATCTGGGCCTCATGTTTCAAGTTATTATCACCACGAAATCATCTCATTCTACTTTGAGTTAAAAAACAACAACCTGCAACCAGATGCGCCGGTGTTCCGGTTTAACGTTAATGAGTGACCGCGTGAACTGAACCGGAACAGGGGGGGGGCTTCATGTTTCATCACGTTACGTTTTTTCCTCCTAAATCGTGATAATGACGAACGTTAACAGTCGATAAAGTTCCGCATGCAGTGGACGTTAACTTAACCCAGCAAGTCTGAATGGTAACGGAACATAACGTAACTTAAACTTTAACGGAGTGAAAGACGCTGTAGACATCTGAACGCTGATTGGCCAAGACTCGACACGTCACAGATGTTCTATTGCGAAGAACACGACATCACCTTTTCTCCTGTCTCACTCCAAAACTGCACCGATTCTGGCAGATTACAGTGTGAGTTTACTTTGTACAGATGCCATCCTGTTTTATTCTGCCCGTCCAGTCGTTAGTCCTTCATTGATTCCTCCCGTTCTCCCGTCACCTGATCCCTACTTGCCGTACATCTGTTCTTGAGGTCGCCACAAAAAGACTTTGGGGATGCTACTTTTAGTCATTTCACCCCAAATACATGAAACAGTTTGCCTGTAAATGTAAGACTTGCTGACTCAGTAGCAGTTCTAAATGGCAATGCAAAACACGTCTTTTTAATATTGCACTTAACTAGTAGCTTTATGTTTTTAACCTTTTATGATTTGTTGTTGTTGGTGTCATTTTTAGATAATAGAAACACAATGTCTCTAATCCTCCTTGTGTAGATGAATGTTTTTTTTTGTTGCTGAATTGCAAATCACTTTGTGTTGCATTTTGTGAATAAAAGGTGCTATAAAAATAAAGTGAATTCATTCATCAGCACCCCACTATTCACCCACACCTGCCCACTAACACCAGACTGCCTATTGCGCAAACATAGATAGTTTTCCAAATTCCAGTGGTGGAATGTTAAGTACATTTACTAAGTACAGTACTTAGTGTAAGTACATTTTCATATTTCACAGTCCTATTTTACTTGAGTATTTACATTCGATATACTACTTGTTGCATTGTAGTCTAAGATTTTACAAAGCCTTGATGAGTTTCTGAAAAATGAGGCATTCTTATGGATCAAACCAACCCCATCTGTCAGGACCAGAATAAGGTGGTCAAGAGGCTAAAGGGAGGTCTGGGCCTTTTTCCCTCTTTGGTTCCTAAAGTTGTTTTGTTTTTCATTTTACTTAAAAAGTAAATAAAAGTATTCAAGATTGTGCATTGAAGTCTAATATCAACTAAATCTTTAAATGGTCCCTTTTCTGAGACCGAGCCTCAGGATGGAGCCACTTTATGGCCCTTATTTATTTATGTAGATTGTGCGTTATGGATATTACAGAACAAATGTGGAATTAATCAAAGCAGATGCCTTTGGGGCGTGTCAGGGTTTTGCGGGGATTTGCCCTCTTTGCCCAGTTGGTAATCCTTGATATCAGCTTGCCCTCGACCGAGCCACAACATTGAAATACTTACACATAAATACATTAGTAATATTGATACCACAATGTAACAATGAAACTGTCAGGAGCCATTTTGATGCATAAAGAGTACCTTTGACACTTGAAGTGCATTTGGCTGATAACACTCCTGTACTGTTACTGAGGTAACATTTTGAATGTGAAAACTTCCAAACATAATTTGACCGTTTTGTGCCTGAGCAAATACATCTAATTCAATTGAATAATGCTGTCATTCTTCCACTAAGTGTAATCACAACAATATACTGTTAAACCACCGTCCTTGAAACAAATATATATTAAAGCTGCGAGCAGCGATGAACGGGCCTCGCATCCTCCAGCGTGTCGGGGGTGGCGGCGGGACTCCGGCCTGCGCGGCCGAGAACGTCCGTGACCGTCGGACAGCGCGTCCGCGAGTGAGACGTTTTTAATCTCGCGTGGACCGCCTGATGCCGGAAATGATGCTTTGCAAATAGTCTGATGCTTCCTGTATCCGCTGCCTGGCGCTGCAGAACGCGTGCAAACATGCATCATGTTGCTCTGTGTCAAATGTAAACCACATTGTGTAAAAGTCATGTAAATCGGAGGTGTTTATCATAAAATCCAGATTTCCTTTCGCCAGCAGGTGGCGCTGTGAGTATTAGTGGAAATTAGCTTGTAGACATCCTCAGGCCATGAGTGTTATCAAGCATGAGAAGTTTGGGACCGTTTGGAACAAGTCCAGCTGAGTTACATCAGACATTTCCTTTAGCCAGTAGGCTTTGCGGGTTTACTGTAGCGCCCCCTAGTGGTCGAATGCAAAACAATTCTCAGGGTATGTTACTGGATGCGATGTGCACATGTGCTGAATATTTTGGGAATTTAGAACAAATGGTTGAGAAGTTATGTGTATTGATATTTTGCCACGCACCTAAGAAGTGTATTGGTCCATATCTAGTAAATGCAAAGCGATATCAAAAATATTTAATCCACTTATGATCCACAGCAAATTTCGTAGAAATCGGAGCCAGCGTGTAGGAGTTCGCAAAAATGTGTTTTTTTTCACTAAATTCAAAATGGCTAACTTCCGGTTTTGGGTTTAGAGCTTAGAGCTCCAGGGGCTTTTTTGTCAGTCTACATGTGATCCATCTGTTTACCATGTTATACATCTAAATTTTATATATAGATAGTGAAACGTACTGCGAGGGCTGCATCGTCGAAATATTGTATAAATTCATACAAAATTGAAAATGGCAGACTTCCGGTAGGGTTTAGAGCATGGTCCCAAGAGACTTATTTTTAAGTCTCCATAGGATACATGTGCCTACCAAGTTTCATACATGTAGCCAAAACGTAGCGCTGGGGCTGCTCTTTTGAAATATTGTAGGGGGCGCTATAGAGGCAATTGAAAACGGCCAATAAAGAAAATCATATAAACTATTTCTTCCAATGACCTGTGACACATGTACAAAGTTCCATGAGTTTTTGAGCATCCCAACCCACTAAACCATCAGCTTCCTTTTTCATGGCAAACTATGCGTCGCCACGGCAACAGCGTTCCACGAAAACTCACAAAATTCATGATGAGGCATCATCAATGTCTTAAGGCTATCCTTACCAAATTTTAGACTCATCAGGTCACCTGGCTAGGAGGAATAATTAAAAGTATAAAATATGACATTTCCTTTAGCCAGTAGGCGGCGCTATGAATTATTGAAATATGTTTAGGCTTGAAGTAGCATCATGCAAAATAAGTTTTGTGTGGATGAGATAAAGTACCTTGGAGTTATAACAACTTATAAGAAGTTATATTTTCATAAACAATGAGGCAAAATGGCCGCCACGCCACATCAAGGTTCTTCTATGAAAACTCTCGATTTTGATAACTTTTAATCACAAAGGTCTTAAGAGCATCCTGACCAGAGGAGAAGTTGATCGCTTAAAATCTGTAGGAGGAGTTCGTTAAAGTGCGAAGGCTGAAATCTGCAAAAAGTGACAAAAAGCACAACTTCGAGGGTTTACTGTAGCGCCCCCTAGTTGTTGAATGCAAAATAAATCTCAAGGTATGTTAGAGGATGCAATGTGCACATATGCTGAAAATCTGGTAATTTTAGGACAAACGGTTGAGAAGTTATATGTATTGATATTAAGCCACGCCCCTAAGAAGTTTATTGGTCCATATCTTGTAAACAAAAAGAGATATCAAAAAGCTTTTGATAATGTTTGATGACGTAGATCCAGTAATGATCCACAGCAAATTTGGTAGTAATGGGACTAAGCATGTAGGAGGAGTTCGCAGAAATGTGTTTTCCACTTAATTCAATATGGCGGAAAATCTAAGTAGGCGGAGCTTAGGGGTCTGATTGGCTTTTTTGTAGCTGTAGCTCAAGTGGACATGTGTGTCAAATTTCAAGTCAATTGGAAATACTGGCCGAGGGGCGTCACCGGTCCGACTTGTAGGGGGCGCTAGAGAGCCATTTCTTAACACAGAAAGATGCATTCTTTTTCAGATGGCTATATTCACCAGGCCTGACAAGTCCCCAAAATTTGGTGAGTTTTCATGCATGGCAAGTCCTCCAACCATGCGTACGTTTACCCAAACGGGTACAATATCAATAGGGCCTTTGCGGCCCGATGTCGGTAGCTCGGGCCCTAAAAATGTGATGCCTGTGTAAAGTATACTTATTATTCCATATGGGGTTGTCATGAGGATTGGAGGGATTTATTTTTTCTTACAACTTCAAACGTTTACAATGTGTTGACAATGTAACAATTGTGATGGAAGATTTCTAAGTTAATCGGGAGAAGAGTTTTGTTCACAAATCAATAATAAACTCTTCAGACGATTCAAAGTTGTCTTTTCTCCGTTTATTTGCTTGCAAGGGAAGAGTATACAACAGAGTACGTATTCAGCAGTCTGTGGTAAAAACTTCAAAATATGTAACACACAGGCTCCTTTATTTACACAGCAACAAGTTAGATTCAAAGTGCAGCCCCCCATGAGGGCTTGTCTGCTGTATCCAGCTGACTTTTCACAGCTTCGATACATTCAAGGTAACATGAGGTGTTTTCAACCACCAGTTCTGATTACTGCTTAGTCTGCACTTTCTTTACTCCATATAAGGAACAAGTTGTTCTGCCACTCTAAAAGTTTTGCTACTTTTTCAGTAGCCATTTTCCTTAATAGATGACACGTAAGTTTTCGAGTTCACTGCGAGTTCACATCGAGGACACAAAGTTCAAATGCATATTTTACCATTACACAACATATACACGTATCATATAGACCAGGGGTGGGCAAACTTTTTGGCTCGGGAGCCACATTGAGTTTTAAAATTTGACAGACGGGCCGGGCCAGTAGCAGATGAATGGAGAGTGTTTGTGTGAACTAATATGAATTACAAGTAAAAGCCATGACCTAAAAAGTAACTTGCATTTAATTTCAGTGAGAACAGTGTTGTTGGTCACCCTTTTTAACCAGTGCGTCAACGTTTGGTGTCAGTTTGGTTGTGGCAATTCTCAGAACAGATCAGAGGTGTTCATCAGTTAGCTGGGATCTTACACTGTATTTTTTTTAATCCCATTAATGCATATTTAATCATGCGCTTACTTATTAAGCAGTCATTTTTGACACAGTGTTTTTAGTATAAAGGTCAATAACTGTGGTCTTTTCAGCAGTTTGATTCTTTGACCGGATCATACACATATTCGACTGTCAAATGTAAGAGGTCTGCTCTGTAATGTCTTTCCTTGTCTCTCCCCCCTGTGTCACGGTGTGGGTACATCTCACTAGCGTCAGGAAAGTATCAGAATACCCATATTTTATTGGCTAAACTGCATCACGTGACGTGATTTACACCGCATTGGTCGGTGTTTTTCCTGCACCGCTGAACAAGTGCCGTAAATGCTGGAAAGGAGCGTGAATAACTCCGCTGCATAAAGCAAAGGCCCGCGACCCACTGAAAACGGGTCCGCGACGAACCACCAGTTGAGAATCACTGGTCTGCAGGATCGTGACGAGCGGTGAACAGCTGTTTGTGTGGTGTGTCTTATGTCTCTTCCCGTTTCCTTCACCTACATGCCCCTGGGCCCTAAGCCCCTCCCTGTACAGCTTCTTATCATCTCTTTCCACCAATGTACATTGATAACAAATACCACACATATTACGGTAATCAGCGTTGCATATGTGTCAAACTCTATCAGTGCATCTCCGGTCTGTCTTTGTTCATCCTGCATCGCTCTGTTCTGTTCTTTAATGTAACTAGCTGGAGCGGCGGAGCCTCTCCCAGCTGTTAGCAGACGGTTGTGCTAGCAAGCAGGCTCGCGAGCGAGCTGTACCCAGCATGCAGTTCGGCGGTGAAATTTTATAAATGTACAATTATTAGTGTTACAAATTGTTTATGCGTCACAGACTGTTGTGTGCTGTGGTGCTTTTCTCTGTTAAAGAGCGTTAGTTGTGGGTTCTTAATTGTTGCGACAAAGAATACATTTAGCTATCTGTTTAAAGCAGACAGCAGTTGTTTCGGCTATGTACCGGTATAATGGTGTGAGAATAATTCATGTTATACGGGAAATTAAAGCGGTATACTTCCCAGCTCTAGTCTTTATTATAGTTTGGGAAATTTTGTACCAATGTTTGACGGGACGGATTAAAAAGCCCAACGGGCCGTAGTTTGCCCATGCCTGATATAGACTGAGCACATGTGTAAACATAACAGTAAACTATCAGCCATACCAATTCAGTTAATGAGGAAAGAAGAAAAATAACTTAATCAGACGGTATAATAAATAATGAATATAATCGATATAATAACAATAACAATAATAAGAGAAAATGAAGTAAAAACAAAATAAATATATTTTGGTGACAAAACTTTGAGAACAATTTAAGAGGCTCTAAACTAAATTTAATTTAAATGATAAAACAACTTAAAATATGGGGTTGAGTTAAGAAATGTAACGTTAGCTGTATGAATATGAAATTCCCCTAAGTGATGTTTGGGACTCTTACATGGCAACAGCGCCATCTAGCGTCTCTTTGCAGCAGAGTCTTTCCCCCACAGCCGCAGACGGAAGTAGCCGGTGTGTCGGTGACACGTCACTGAGGTCAGACGGGAGGAAAGATGGCGAGCACCTACGAGAGTTTCAACTTGTAAGTGCTGCGGATCAACACCGTAACACACCGTAGCTTTTTTACTGTTCATGCTGAGTGAGGGGCCTCCGTCAGGACTTCACACTGACACGGATAAACGACGAAGCAGCTCGGCGTGTGTAGACCACCTCGTCAGCGCAGGCGTCGTGTTACCGCTCCATGCAAACAATGCTAACTGCACCTGATTCCGGTAGAAAGTTTTCTACCCTAAATGAGCTCTTTTGAACGGGTTGGGTATGACAGCAGCACCTCGTTAACGTCACTTTATGTGACAGGAGTCCCGCGCTACCGGGTGAAGCTAGATATGAGACGGTTTAACGGATGCAGCACTGCTACCTGCTGCTAGTCGGTTACAGTGTTCCATTAGCTCTCGTAGCTAACAGGTACTCCTGTCAGCTCGCCGTGTAGTCTTCCGCCGGTTGACTCTAGTCCGCATCGTTTCTGTAGGAGTATTACACGGAGCCCCGCTGCTGCTGCTGGGGTGGGGGCTGATGGTGGTGATGGTGTTAGTGCTAGTGGGTTTTTAAACAGCTCTCGTGTCTGTCTGTCTCACCAGGCGCATCACACCAGAGAAGTTCTACATAGAGACTCTGGATGACGGAGCCGAGGACGTCCTGGCTATCGACAGGGTGTCGACCGAGACGACTCTCACAGGTGATCTCAGGTTAGGGGCTTGAGCCTCAGCACGTGTGTCATTGAAGGAGAACACAGCGGAGACTGTAGCAGCACTACTATATATTAAATATATTGTAAACAAGCTTAGTGTGTTGATGTCAATTCAAACCAGATTTACTTTTTTAGAGGGTATGATTTTAATTTTGTTTCATATTTATTGTCATTATTATCTACCCAAGATCTTCCTCGGTGCCACTGTTTTTGGTACATTTTTGCAAAAAGAAAAAAAGTTTAAAGAAACCCTAAATAAAGAGGTACAAATTAAACACCAACATATGGTTTACATTTTGTACTACCTTGTCTTTTGCAAGTGCCTTCATCATTTAAATGTTATTCTATATATACTGTCTGCTGCAGTAGCCATACACACATACTGTTTATATGTATGATTCTTTTTACTATCTCCTCTGTGGTCTCATTCAATTACATATGTGCAATTATATAGAAAAAGGTGGATAATACCCATTAATTACCCCATAATAAATGGATATTCTCCAGATTTGCACAGTAGTCCTACTCAAATCACACACACACACACACACATAATTACTTAGTTGTGTTAATCATTTAGTACAGACATTGCCAAACACTCTGTGGGTCGTAGGAGATGTTATTTGGGTCGCCAAATATATTTTCAGAATTTCTTCCTGTAGTCTAGATTTTGTGCAGTTCACATTCGAGCCACAAGAGGGAGCCTGAATGTTTGTAATGTTCTGATAACTGTAGCCTACTTCCAACATTGAATCTAATATGAAAAGCTTTCCGTACATTCTGTTTGTTTAACTGATGAAAGAAAATTAAAAGAATGAGCCTGTTAATGCTGTCTAAATGCATTTATTTGGTGTCATTTCTGAAGTATTTATCTAGTGTACATGTTTTCAATAACGCATGCATAAAACAAACTTGTGATTTGTCAAAAGTTTGTTGTGAATTTGGCCGTGATGGTTTTTCATTTTTAAAAAGTGGGTCACTAGAAAAAAGAGTTTGGGAAACACTGCTGTAGTTGGTACAAATGCCCAAAACATTTACTAGTTGTAGTTGCACAGTTCTGATAACGTTGTTACTTTAACTCCGTCTCATTATGTGTAGCTCGCATCTAACAGACAGTTTCAAGGTGTCCCTTTTATTCTCTAATCATTTTCATTTGCGCCATTAAAAAAAGTAGCTCATCAGTTGCAGCCCTAGCTGAGATAATTCACACTGCTGCTTAACCCTTGCTGTGTGCCTGCTTTGGTCCTCAGTGAGGAGGGACATCCCTGCGTCTGCAGAGACCAGGCCCATATGCGGACTCATGGGGACGATCCGCCTGGTGGCAGGTGAGTCAAGAGCACATGAAGACCGTCGGGACATTACAGCAGCAGGCGGTGTGTTTTTTAAATCTCCAACCACTTCTTCTGTGTTAGGCATGTACCTGGTTGTCATCACGAAGAAGAAGAAGGTGGGGGACCTGCTGGGCCATGCTGTGTGGAAGGCCGTGGACTTTGACATTGTCTCCTACAAGAAGACGATACTGCACCTGACGGAAAACCAGGTGAGGGATCTCATGGCTCCGGGTTGCACCTGTGGCTGGGAGAGCTGGCAGACATCTAACCGAGCTTGGTGTGGCGGTCAGAGAATTTTGAGGGTTTAAATATCCTTCACGATGGTGGACATGATTGATTTTCATGTAGAAGGTGTTCCCCAAAGTGGCCCTTTGGTGTCCGATCCGCTAGCAGCGGCTTCCACTTGTACCGGCTTCATTTACCGCCCTCTCTGACCTCTGAATCTGGGTCTGTCTCTTTGTTTCAGATGCAAGACAACAAGGCTTTCCTGTCCATGATCAACAACGTGCTTCACACAGACGGCTTCTACTTTGCTACGGACTACGACCTGACCCACACCCTGCAGCGCCTGGCCAACACCAGCCCCGAGTTTCAGGAGATGAGCCTTCTGGAGAGGGTGAGATGTACCTCGAGCCCCTTTTCCCCCGCTGGACAAAAAAACCCCACTAACATCTGGCTTTTGTCTTCGGTGGGAAAGGTCACAATCAGTCCCGGGACAAATGACTCTGCAGAAGTCACGGGTATTTATCGACTCCAGCTCCGATCGGTGCGATTTGGACAATTATTATAATTTATTAACATATAAAACACACAATGAATCCTCTCTCCTTACAGCCACCAGACTCCAGTCAGACAACAGTCATTATTTCCTCCCTGATCCTCGAAACACACTCCGTTCAAACTCGGCAGAAACAAAATACAACTCGTGAAATCCGTCTTTGTTAGTCTTTCCACCGTTCTGACAATCACCAGCTCTGGTTTGGTCAAAGTAAACCCCTAAATTCACAGAGTTGGATGTGAAAAGAAACAGCCGTTACATGCTCTCCTCAGTGCTACCAGACGTTGAACATAACACCAGAAAAAAAACAGAAAGGTATGCTGGTCTACTGGCAGTAGGAGAGGAGTCCATCGCCTATGTTTAGCTGGTTTTCCTGTGTTTTAAAAAAAAAAAGTTGCATATATGTGCTAATGTTGGTGGAAAAAGCGCTGTTGAATACCAAATACATCCCTGTCTCTCTGTGAGTTGGTGAGCTCACAGTGGCCAGAGTTAAATACCCAACTAGAAATGTTGTTACCCATAAAATGACAAATGAATTAAATTCACATAAACAATACAAAACGAAAAAAAAAAAACATCAATCTCAATGAATAATTCCAAATGTACAATTGTTGAAGTATTTTTTCCCTACAGTAAGCCTCATCTCCGGGTGTAGGCCACGCCCTTGTCTGTCTTTGTATTAACCCGTGCTGACTGTCCTGTTGCAGGCAGATCAGCGTTTTGTCTGGAACGGCCACCTGCTGAGGGAATTCATCGCACAGCCAGAGGTGAGGCCAAACCAACGTTCTCGCTTTCACAGCATTTATTTAACATTCCTACTCTGGGATACGCCCCTCCCCCCTCCCCCCCTGAGGATTCTGGTCCGTAACTGTCCTCACCATTGGAAGCGTGCTTGTCTACTGTAGCCTGTGTTCAAACAGCGAACTACAGCAATAGTAGGAGCAGTCTGGCTTCTCCACGCCCATCGGTTGGAAGCACCAGAAGTCTGCGGCCAACATTTTTCTACATTGCAACATTTAGTTTCCATTTTGATTCAACAACTCAATTCAGCCACTAGTCAGCCCAACTCACCAACACCCTAGACCCAAGCATTTCAGTAAAGCAAAGCATCTCATTATCTAACACTGTTTTTATCTTACAGTTACACAAGTTTGTGTTTCCTGTGGTCCATGGCTGTATCCTTTCCTGCTGTTCGTTGGTGCTGGTTTACTGAATGAGTGTGAGATCTATCATGTCGGGTCCATCTCACTGAGTGAGGCATTAAATAAGACACATCTACTTTATACTACTACCTTGATACTGTAAAGGTAGTAGTATAAAGTTTATACTGTTCAATGTGTTGATAGTGTTTTTGTTTGTCCTTGATCTGGATGAATATTAAATCACTATTACGTGGAGAAATACTGTCTAAAAAGGTACTGTAGCCATAAAAAAGTTTTTGATAAAGAGCCAACAAAAGAAATGTTGCTCACTTCAAATGGATAGTTCAGATGTTTAGAAGAGGGGTTTGGAGTAAGAGACATGAGTACCAGCACAGAAGCAAAGCAATGTACTGCTGTGGATGGAGGCACCCTGACGGGGAACTGAAGTTGTTATCTGTGCTCTCTTCAAAGCAACCAGACTCCACTGACAAAAATGTATTTATTTACCTTGCAGAACACAGAAGCTGCTGGTATACCACTGCCTTAATCGGTTTATCTCTTTGTGTTATTGTGTGACTTTGGTGTTTAAACTAACCCTTTCTTTAGAACTCCAAAGTCCCACAAACAGATTAACCGATGGAGGCAGCGGAAGACCAGCAACGTCTGTGTTCTTTGAGGTAAAATGACTGTTTTTGTCAGTGGAGTCTTGTGGCTTTGAAGAGAGCACAGATAACGACTTAAGTTCCACGTCTGAAAGGGCTGTATGACGGCAAAGTAAGGGGGGGGGGTCCGCCATCTACATCGATACATCTACATCGATATGTTATTTTTTTTTTTTATAAAAGTGCTTAGCACTGACTTCTCACTATTCCACGTCAGTTTTCTTAACGCATCTCTTGACCAGTCATCACCATGAAGTCGGGCTGCATCAACGGGAAGGTCTTTGATTGGATTATTATCTCCAGGAGGAGCTGCTTCAGAGCCGGAGTCCGCTACTATGTCCGAGGTAACGCTACCGACTCCACGCGTCCACGGGAAATGTTTTCTGTCTTCATTGTCCAACACTTTTACAAATGTTTTACAAACACATTCGCAGCTCATTTATGGCACATACCCAGCGGATATTATTTCGATGATGAACCTGTCAAACAGCTGTTTGTGTTTTTGTCCGCAGGCATTGACTCAGAAGGCCATCCTGCTAACTATGTGGAAACGGAGCAGATCGTGCAGTACAACAGCGCCAAGGCTTCGTTTGTTCAGGTGAGCCAAAGCATTGATGCTCCAGGAGAGACGCAGTGCAGTCTGCCTTCAGGAAGAATTGACCCGCTGGTCAAGTCAGAATCCAGTGGTTTGAAGTTATATCATGACAGCACACAAATGTAAATAGAATACAACATTAAAGGGTAACTGAAGGTTTAGCTTATTTTGAAAATGTGACGTGGGATTTCAGAACGTGACGTTTTGCGAGCGAACAGACAAACCAGATCAATTAAAAATGTTTTATTTCTCTGTAGGGTTCTTTACATAATGTTGTCAGACACTTATGATGCCAATCAACAAGAACTTTTAGTGGACGTACATTGATGGTGAGGAGTTTCCCCGAGCGATCACACTACAGCCTGTTTAGCGTCTGCAACTGTTGTCCCCATTAGTCGCTTATAAAAGGTATAAATAGGGTCCAGGTTGAAAAACACCGAAGTTCCCATTTAAGCATCAAAATATAGTTAAAACAATTTGAGCATGTCTTCAGCTCTTTTTTTGGTTTCCTTTATAATTAGTTCTTACATACAGTTGTGTCCACTCGTCTCCACATTGAACGCATAATGCCCCTTTCCTCCTCCTAGACCAGAGGCTCCATCCCCCTCTACTGGTCCCAAAGGCCCAATCTCAAGTACAAGCCCAAACCACAGATCAACAAAACAGTGAACCACGTAAGCTGCCTTTTTAATTTACACGAGACAAAACGTGTTTATTTTTTTCCTTGCGTTCCTCACAAAGTTTCTCTCTGTTGCTCTCTTGTAGTTGGACGGATTCCAGAGACACTTTGACTCTCAGATTATTCTCTACGGAAGACAAGTCATTTTGAACTTGGTAAATTTGTTATGACAGATGTGCCAGCTAGGTTTTCATTTCACACTGTTTTAACCCACGATATGACCCTGACTAGAAATCATTCCTCTTCTTAGAATTATTATTATTTTTGTTGTCATCCTTCTTTTTTTCACAGATCAACCAAAAGGGCTCAGAGCAGCCACTGGAGCTGGCTTTCGACAAGATGGTGACCGGCTTGGGTAACGGCATGATCAAGTAAGATAACCGCCAGCTCCGTCCTTCACCCCTCACGCATTGCTGCGTTCTTTTAGGGCCTTGCGTTGACACCGCCTGATATTAGCTTGAGGTCACCACTACGTTTCAGTAAACACTTTCTCTTTTTCTGCAGGTACATAGCTTTTGACTTTCACAAGGAGTGCAGCCGGATGAGGTGGCACCGCCTGCATATCTTAGTGGATATGGTCGCCGAAATGCAGGACGAATTTGGGTTAGTGCGCTTTTTTGCTTTGTGCGCCAGGTAAATATCTACGTCTGTCTCTGCAGCAGAAGTAATGGTGTGTATGCGTGTGTGTGGATCCAGATATTTCCTGGTGGATGCGGATGGGAAGGAGATGTTGACCCAGGAGGGGACGTTTCGGAGCAACTGCATGGACTGTCTGGACCGCACCAACGTCATCCAGAGCATGCTGGCCCAACGCTCGCTGCAGTCACAGCTACGGGTACGACCCTAGCATCCCACAGGAAGTGGACGTAATAATCACAACAGCTGATCACAGAGAACCAAGGCTGTGCCCAGCTTGATTTGTGTCGGTTAGCTCAATGTAATCCAGCATAATGTCTATTTCCACAGCACTAATATCATCAGCACAAACACGGTCATGTCATTCGATCCGTGTTAAAGGGATAGTTCAGCTGTTATGAAGTGGGGTTGTATGAGGTACTTATCCAAAGTCAGTGTATTACCTACAGTAGATGGCGGCCGACACACCCCCAGTCTGATTCAGACAGCAGTACCACGGGGCCAAAACAAGACTCTCGCAAAAGCCACAAGACTCCATTGACAAAATCAGCGATTTTCGCAGGAGGTTCATTTTGGACTCTCAAATCAATATGTGCGTGTGTGTTCCTGCAGAGAATGGGAATCCTCCACGTGGGCCAGCAGATCGAGGAGCAGGCAGACTTTGGCAAGATGTTCAAGAACGGTGGGCTCACACTACCAGTTTCACACTACCAGTGTCCTGTTTCACTGGGCCACGCCCGCGTTTAAGGGTCCGAGATGTTAATACGATCTGTTCTCTTCTATTTCCCTCCTCCCCACCCGTCTGTTCACGTGCAGCCTGGGCAGACAATGCCGACGCCTGTGCCAAGCAGTATGCCGGTACTGGTGCCTTGAAGACCGACTTCACCAGGTTAGTTTTCACACAGCAAACGGATACCGTCCTGCTGAACACATGCTAACTACCTGCTAATGACAAAAGAAAAAGTCTAAGGATGGAGGTGTCTGCTAGTTTGTCTGTTCAACTGTCTGTCCTTCCCCAGGGTTAATTCTTTGGTTGCTCTCTCAGATTTATGAGCATTAACCCTCTGAACCCAAAGCAGTTTCGGGGTGTTCTTTTGGTCCGGTCACATTTTTCTCTCTGTGGCCTTGATTCTCTCTACAGTATACAAGTCCTGCACCTCTGTTGAAACAGCACAATGATGGCAAGAAGTCAAAAATGTATTTTGAGCAGTATAACACAGTTACAATGCCATAAATCATAAGGAAGAAAAAGTTGAATTTCTGTGATGATTTATTTTATAAAAATTGAAAAACACTGGAATCTATATGTACGACATGTTATCAAATGTCTACAAGTTTAACCAATTTTGGGGAAAACGGAGGCTCCACATGCTTTATACATTGAACTCCTCTGTGCTCAGCAGCCTGCAGTTCTGTCCAAGTTTCGCGGAGTTGTTGCCATGTGACTGTTGGTCTCAACCGAGTCAATCATGGCTTCCTAGTTACGCTGAGGAGCTCAGAATTTAATGCTCTTCACAGGATCCAGTCAATTCAAACGGCTTGTTTGGGAAAAGATTTTAAATGAGGCTTGTAGAATAACAAGTTTTTAATGAGGTATCACAACTTTAGGCTTCGATTTGGTTTCTTTTTCTGAAAGAAGTGTTCGTTCAAAGACTGTCGGAAAGATTTTTTACAGCTTCTGGCTGTGATAAACCGCGTAGTTTGGGCAATTGTTTCAGGAAAACATGCTTTTAAATACCACCGGTGGGTTTTGGGGTTCGGAGGGTTAAGTTCACATGCAGTAAGAAAGCTGGATGGACAGGGTTTATCCTCTGGGGAGCATGAAATGGCCTCGGTAAATGAGGTTAGATGTTAGTTGGTGTTAAATTGGGAGGCTAGAGGACGGGTCAGGGGGATAACAAAATGGTTTGTATCCAACCTATGAGGACGTAAGTGATTTTCTACATGTTGTCGACCCACATGATGATCTCTCAGGACGGGGAAGAGGACTCAGTTGGGGCTGCTGATGGACGGCTGGAACTCCATGATCCGATATTACAAAAACAACTTCTCCGATGGGTTCAGACAGGTGGGTCCAAACCTTTCTGGATTTGATGTGTGCATTAGTGTGTTTTACTATTACTTGTGTGGCCAAACTTTTTTCATTGTGGGTTATATACAGAAAAATATAAGGAGTCACGGGACAAACTATAGTAAATGTGTAGTTTTCGAGCAAGAACATCAGTGTTTCTAGAGCAGAAACCCAACGTGCCAGTGAATGAAGTGTGGGACTGACGTTTAGTTTCACCGCAACGGATTCCTTGCAACTTCACTTGCACTTCTGTGACAAAGTACTCGTTTACCCAACATTTCTGAAATTTTCAGCACTCACTCGCTATCTTCCGTCTTTTCGGTTCCACCATGTTTACCAAATCTAGTGAGGTAAATGTTTCAGTAATCAGTAACCTGACCCACCAGATGGTTTGTTACACAGAACCAGCTGAGAAGCCATCATTGGAAACTGTTTGGAAAAGGGCAGGCACTTTCAAAATGTATGTGGCAGGTGATTGGACAAATCATCTGTCAATCAAACTAACTCTAACCGAAGCCAGTAGGGAGAAGAGCGAAAACACCTTTTCCATCTAGAAAAGCCTTCAGTGTTACTCTCCAGTTCTGATATTAGTGATGCTATTCCAGCTACACTAACCTCTTCAGGGGCCGCCATTGTCGTGAACAGCAAACATTTGCCTCTCTGTGTCATCTGGCACAAACTTAAGCCACACCCATAGCTACCAGTAGCTCCTCACAGGAAACTGATTGGTCCTTGCGCAGCTTACCGGACACAAACGCACTATTTGATACTTGAAGCCTGACGAGATGGGTTTTCGTGTGCTATATGATCCCGCGATTCTCAATTGACCTCGCGATATCTCAAAAATCCAGCTGGCGTGCAAGGTAAAGTAATCAACGTAGGTCAAGTGGTTGTTCATAATGGCAGCGACATCTAGTGTTTAAACTAAGACGTGCCACGTACAGGCCACTATTGGTGCTATTTATTAGAAATTGGTTATGTAGTTTGGCCACCCAGTTTGGTACTGCACAGTTGAAATGTAGACCTGTCAGTTATCTTCAGTTACAGTAGACTCTTTAAGAGAATTGGTCATGGCCGAAGTCTGGAGATCTCTTATTTGCTGACACAATGTAGAGACGACAGAGTGATAAATGAGATGCACTCGCACTGCAAACAGTAAGAAACGGTTGGTCTGTTGTAACGCAGGACTCCATCGATCTGTTCCTGGGGAACTATGCTGTGGACGAAGCTGATTGGGCCACCCCGCTGCGTGACACCAAAGACTGGAAGTTCCTGACGGTAAGAATGGCTCTGGAAGATAGACGGATACCTTTTTCCTCTTTTCCCGATGTTTTTTTTAATGTGACTCTTTTCCTTTTCTAGTTGCCTATCGTCATGGTGGTAGCATTCTCCATGTGCATCATCTGCCTGCTAATGGCTGGTAAGTCCAACTGCAATTAACTCAGTCATTGTCATACTGCAAACGTAACGACATGCATCAGGGTTTAGTTATCCTAAATTAAATTCGGATCATGCTTAAAATATTTAAGCAGTAATTGTTATTTTACTAATTGTTATTTTACCCCCCCCACCCCCTCCCCCTGTCAGGTGAGACGTGGACTGAGACGCTGGCCTACATTCTGTTCTGGGGAACAGCCAGCGTGGTGACGGGCGGCCTCATCCTCTTTAATGGACTGGACTTCGTAGATGCTCCCAAGCTGGTCCAGAAGGAGAAGCTGGACTGAATGTGTGCGTGTGGAAAGCAGCTTGGCCCTGGCGATCTCACCGCCTCATCCTCTGGCTCTTCGTCACTTTACCCCCAGCATCAGCACCCGCAGGCCTGGAGCCTTTACTAACGGACGGGGTGGAGTGGAGGATGGCGGTGGGAAGCGGGGGCCGGGCCTCGTGCGCGAGAACGGCGGAAGAGACAGGGACTGGGAGCGCACGTTGCCGGCTGCTGTCCACACTGCAGATACTGTCATGTGGACAGGACTGTCTGTCCGCAGTTTTACTGGACACTGAACCTCTGGAGTTTGTTCTTACTGGATGTGATTGTTTCCGTGATTTCAGAGGAATGCTGTGGGGCCTAAATGTAAATGTCCGCCCCATTGAATTACCTTAATGGGTGTTTTGGGATCAGTTCTTTTGCCTTTTGTCTTTTGTATTATTGCCAAATATATGTTCATCCATGCACAGATGCTCTGTCCCAGGTTAGACGCTGCCTGCTTCGATGGTTCAAGACCAGCAACAGGTCGATGAGCCGATCCGGTTCCAAAGGCTCCAGGAAATCCGGCCTTCTTTTGCGACGACTTCAATTACACAGCCAGTGTATAATCAGAAGTCTTCAGTATCCCAAATGTCTATTGGCGATTTGTTGGATGGTGCACTTTTATCACTTCACATGGTTGTGAAATACGTCAGGTATGCTGTATATTTAACACGCGTTTGTGATTATAATCTGCGTCATTGGTTGTTATCAATACACAGTGAACAATCATCATATGAGGGTTGATCAGTTAAAAGGCCACTGCAGGCTGTAACTGATACTGTTGAAGGCAGACACGATCTCTACGGTTTGGAGTGAGCTTCTCACTCCCAACTCCTCAATTACTGACGTTTGGTTGGACTCACGACGCTTCTAACCCTCTAGCGTCAGTGTTGGCCTCGGGGACAACGTGTCAGTTCCCGGTCGTTACATGCGTACAGTATCTTTTCAAAATGAAATTCCAGCGTAGGTTTACTTATTTTGAAGGTTTACTTGTGCAACAAACTGCTTGGTTAGGTTCCGGCAGCAAAAGTGCTCAAAATAACTACAGATGTTACATAACTACGGAAATTACAAAGAAAACTACGGTATAATAGGTCAACATTCCTTCAGAGGGGATGCAAAGATGGGTCTCCTGGGTGTAAGTCCCAGGTTTGTTTGATCCAGACGTACTTTTCTAAAAGATGCGTCGGTATCAGATGCTGAGGGGCACCGACAAAGCAGCGGTATAAGACGAGTTGGGAGCGAGAGCGGGTTCTGCACTACATGTTATCTGCCATGTGTTGTATCATTACAACCGACTGTAATCGTAGGTGTCATGGAACTTGGCGCTTTATTTACCATCAATTTATTTGTCCACAGAAACGAGTATTAAGTGCTCTCTATCTACTTAATTCTTGCTCTCAAATGAGCCATTTGAGAGCAAGAATAAACGGAACCTATTGTTAAAAAGTATTGTTAACATTTTAACTCTTTAAAAGGGTGAAGTTGCAGGTTGGTGTATTGAAGCGTTAGCGGCAGGCTAGCAGCTGTGTTTAGGTATCGAGGTACCAACATGTGTTGAGTTCATTCCTGCATAATAACATTGTCGGTTAGCGCATTCATTTGATTTGTTGTTGTAGCCTCCCGCCCTTTCTTTAAAGCTAGGGTTGGTAATGTTGAGAAACTAGCAAGATTACACTAGAAAACAGCCCCAACGTGCCAACTCTTCTTCAATGAAACTAGCTAGCAGCACTAGCTCCTAAAGTCGCTAAATCTAGATAGAAAGTCGTCTGACCCGTCCTTTCACTTCCCTTCAAAGCCACACCCCCAAAATGATCAATGATGGCTGTTAGTACTCCAAACTGTCAAGCTAGCAGCTTATGGAAGACTGGTGACAGGCAATGAGTGGACAGGCATCTAGCACGTCTAACAGCCATGGATACCAGACCTTTTTTAGTTTTTTGTTGATTTATTGATTGCTGTTGGGATGCAATAAGAATTTCAACAAATATAACAAAGGTCTTCAAGAAGATTATCAACCCTATCTTCAGTGATAGTTGGATATTGAATATTGTTTCAACAAAGCGTCGGCTTCGGCTGCACAATCTGAATCTGATTCTACATAACTGCTTGGTTTGATTTAGGACGGAGATGCATGGATATACTTCAGATTTTTCCTGTTATGTTATCTGTGACATTCCTAAATATATGTTCGTTAACAATATTTAATGTTATGTTCTGTTGAACCCCCTCCATGACGCCAGCCGGGCTCTGGGCAGTTACCCTGTGCTCAGAGAATGTCCGACTTGATGAGGATCACACAAATGCATTAATAACGTTGACTCTGTACATGTAGATCTATGCTTCTTGATCAATGGGTCTCATGCAAGTGATTTATGGGAACCTATGGCATTCACCAAGTTACTCGTATTTGGAATTCTTTCTGTGGTCCAGACCTGTCGCACGAGTCATGAACTTTTTTGATTTAAAAAATTGTTATGCCTTAATCTGAATGAATTTGCAGTTTAAATATGAAACTGAATACGAGATCAAATAAAATATTTAAGACAAACTTGCAGCAAAACTAATATTCTGTTCCCCGTATCTTCATCATGGCTGCCAGTAAAAAGAAAAGAAACATTTTGGCATATTTTGTTAGAGAACTTCTACATGACAGTAGTTCTCTCAGTATGACAGCTGCCTCTGCAGGTCTCTGTCTAGTATCATCCTCTCTTGCACCTTAAAGTGTTAACAACACTTTAGGCTGTTACACTGTTCTTTAATATCTCTTATTAATTTCACATC